TGGTACTAGAGCAGTAGCTGAGAGCTCACGTCTCATAAGCAGGAGGTGGGGTGGGGGTGAGGGCTTGTGGGGAGCTTCTCTTGTGAGAGAAGAAGGGAGGAAGGGAGGGGAGGAACACCTCCTGGCATGGGCTTTTGAAACCTTGAAGCCCTCCCTCATGTCACACCTCCTTCAACAAGGCCACATAGAAATTCCAGGACAGCCAGGGCTACAAAATCTGTCAAACAAATTCTTTCCAGAACAGTTCTAACAACTAGAGACAGAGCATTCAAATATGGGACCCATTCTCATCCAAACCACCAAAGGCTTGTACCAACCTCAAGGGTTTGGTTTAGAAAGAAAAGGGAAATTCATATGAGTATGCCCAGAATGGCACCTCACACAGTAGGTACTTTTTCTGGGTATAAGCCGTACTCATCCTTCTAGCTCATGTAAATGGTGGTGCTAGTGGGTACACACTCTACCACAAGCTGGAAGCTCTTTCATGCCACTTTCTCCATCTTGCCCCATGCCTCAGTGGTAGATCCCTGCCCAGGCTCTTGCCATGTAGCATCCATTCATCCCTCAATCTTTCTATCTCTACATTCATCCATCTATCCACCCATCTATTCGTCCATCCTTCCATCCATCTGTCCATCCACCCATCCATCCTTCCATCTCTTTTCATCCATTCATCCATCTCTTCATCTTTCCATTTCCCCCCTCCATTTCTCCATCCATCCATCCATCCATCCATCCATCTCCTTATTCCTCTCTCCATTTTTCATCCATCCATTTTTTTTTTCATCTATCCATTTCTTTATCCATCTCCACCCATCTCTCCTCTTTTCAGTCTTTGTTTATCAGGTATAGTAGGTGTCTAATTCCTACCTGTTCAATGGGTAGTTTATTCTTACCAAAGGTTTTCAGTTCTGACCTGGAGCCTTGTTTTTTGTTTGTTTGTTTATTTTTGTTTTTGTTTTTTTGAGAGTTTCTCTATGTAGCCCTGGTTGCCCTGGAACTCTGTAGACCAAGTTAACCTCGAACTCACAGAGATCCCCCTGCCTTCGCCTCCTGAGTGCTGGAATTACAGACACGTGCCACTCCCCTACTCCTTGCTTGGGGCTTTGTCTTTTGAACAACTGGCTCAGATAAACATACTGACAGCATCAAGTGCAGTTGGGTTCAGTTCCTCATTTCTCAGTGTCAGATTCCCCACAGACTGGGAGTGAGGTGAATCAGCAGCTTTCCAATTCAAAGCAAAAGATTAGAGTCCTCCCAGCCTTGCAAAGCTCAGGTCGTGTATGTCCTGCCTCCCCACCCCCACCTCCATCCCTTTATAGTCCCTGAGTGGCCTTGAGGCCCAGCTCCCAGGGCTACATTTTGGGGGTTCTGGGTAGCTCCCCGTGCAGGAGTGACCTTTTGTTCTGCGTTGTGCAGGGGCTTTCTGTTCCTCATTGTTTAGCCCTGACGAGGCTGTGGTTTTGGTTTTTTTTTTTTTTTTTTTTCTTTCTCTGTCCAAGAGAATAAACAGGCCTCGAGGTTGTTGAGGGAGGGCTGGGCCCCTTTGCCAGCTGCTGGAGTTGGGGGTCACACATAGCAGTAGGAGAAAGCATCACAGAGCTTATCCACAGAGAAGCTGGGGACAAGGAGGGCCCCAGAAGGCAGGAGCTGAGGGCCACGGGTTCAGCTGGCTTCCAGGAGCCCTTGTCCATGGGAGGATCACGGAGACAGTCCAATTTGGCTGAGGCAAGGCCCTTTCCCATCAGGCCCTCTGGGTCTGGCAGGAAGTTGTTCCTTGCCAAAGCAGGGTTTTTCTCTGGGCCACTAGAAGCTACCCAGGCCCCAGATAAGTTAGGGGCTCCCCTGGTTACCACCACCCAGGGGGATAAACCCCAGGGCTGGCAGGGATAGGTTCCCATGTGATGGAGGCCACCTCCAGCCCTTGTGTGGCTGCCATTTGGGGAAGTGGAGAGGGTGTGGTAGGTACTTCATTAATGAGACAAACCATTTCTCCAGGAAGACTAGTCTGGGTGTTTTGTGGGGACACTTGGGCCTTCTGTGTCAATTAGCATTCTGTGGGATGATGGGTATAAAATGAGCTATGACACTGTGATTTCTGGGGTTCAGGACTCCCCTAAGTCTGCTCTGTGTGCCTTCCTCACTCCCTTCCCCCAACTTATCTTACTTTCTCCATGGGGTGGACTAATCAGACCAGGCTGAGTACGGCAGAGGTTGCTCTAGTCCCTGCCGAGAGTTCTTTTGTTTTCTCTTCCCTCTTTTGGAGCAGTATGGCTCCCTAGCCCGGAGACTTCCTTAGAGGTGTGAAAGAGGCAGCTAGCACCATTGACACACCCTAACCCTGAACACAGCCAGTAATGCCCCAGGCAATGTGGACCGCCCTTACAGTGGGCACTCAGCCACAACTGATCATTTATTTTGTCGTGAAATGGAAGGGAAAAAAGGGCCAATATAGTGTGTGTGTGTGTGTGTGTGTGTGTGTGTGTGTGTGTGTGTGTGTATACCTGTCCAGAGGGAGCTCCAGCAGCTTTTCAGACGGGGTTCTCAGGATAGCTCTGCAACTTCCCTCACAAGCTGTCTGCATGATCTCTCTGGAGACGATTGCCCTGGTTGGGGGGACTCAGAGATCAGGCAGGACAGCAGATGCATTTGTGTTGAGGCTTCTTGGCCCTAGTGCCCAGGGTGAGGACCTTACTTCAAGGAAATGACATTGTAATTACTCCCCCGATCAGGGTAGCAAATGCTGATCACCCTTTTCTGCCTGGCTCTGGGTAGAATAGCTTAGAGCCCCCTCCATCAGTCTGGGGTGGTGCATGAAGACTGGCTGAGCATAAGACAAGGTAGGGGGCTGCATTGGGTTGTTCATCCAGGGCAAGGGCTGGGCAGTGGCCTAGTGGAGATACACTCTGAAGGTATGTGTGGTGGGGGACTTTGGCCAGAGGGAGCAGGAGACAGCTAGGGCACAGTGGCAGGACCAGAAGAGCCAAAGACAGTCCACAGCAAGGAATCCCAGTCCCTTATGTCATGGCTCCTGGTGGCTTCCAGCTGTTATCACTCAGCTTGGTGGCTGAGCAAAGAAAACCTGTGAGGAAGCTGCTCATGTGTCACTCGCTGCATGACACTGGGCAGGGTGGTGGTGCTGCTGTGGTGGGGATGAGATGAGGAAGGAAGGTGGAGGGCAGAGCCGCTGCCCACAGATCATGGGAGTTTACCCAGTCTATACAGATGAACCTAGTACTGTAGTCGGTTTCTTATGGCTGCTTTTCAAGGGAATTGATGGGTACCTTTACTGTGATAGTTGTTAGATATTTTATGTATCTCTCTTGCTCCCGTGGAGCTGAGTCAGAAGGTGGAGACACTTGCCTGTGATCATACAGCCTATAAATGATAGCGTAAGAAAACAAAATCATGCCACTGAAACTGTCTACCTTTGTCTGAGGAGTCAGAGGGGACTCGTCAGGGTTACTGGCTTAATACGTGTTCTCTGAGCTCCCATTGAACACATGACGGCAGCCGTTGGCACAACACAGAGTAAGAACCGGCCCTCAACTCTAACCTAGAATGACCCTCCATCATTTCCAGGTGATGTCAGCAGGAGTTTCAAGGACGCTGGGCACACACACACCCTCCTTGTTCTTGTAGGTCTGTTCCCAGGTCCGCTCATGAACTCACATTCTCGCAGAAGTGGCTACTTCATGCTTCTCTCTAAAGCCTCAGATTGCTATCCCATCTTTTGGAAGGAAGGCTGGGTTTCGGCAGGTCGCCAGGGCCCTGGGACAGGCACAGGCATTGCTGCTGCACGCTTCCCAGGGACGCTTTCAGACCAGAGGGAGGGCCCTGTGTTTCTCACTGCTGGTTCTGTGCTGCATGGGTGATGTTTTCTTGCTCTCTCCTCCCCACCAGTCTGTCTTGTCTGGCTGTCTTTCATAATTATTTATCTAAAAAAATTAAGTAAATATGAATGCGCCTGAGTGTGCATATGTGAACCGCATGCATGCAGAAATATTCGGAACGTAAAGGGAGACTCACATTCCCTAGGACTGGAGTTACAGGCAGTTATAAGCCACCATGCGGGTGCTGGGAACTGAACCCAGGTCCTCTCCAAGAGTAACAAGTGCTCTTAACCACTGAGCCATCTCTTGAGCTCCTCCTCCCCATCATCCCTTGCTTTGCTGGTCTCTCCATGGAGGTACTTGGCACAGTCATTGAAAACATGGGCAAGAGAGGCAGACAGGACCCAAAGCTCAAATCTCCATCACTGGCTTTAGGACCCGAGGTGGGTGGCCTCTTTTCTTTATGCCTCTGTTTCCTTTCTTTACAACAGTCATAGTCCATCTTGGCCGGTTGTTGGAGACCTCATCTCAGTCCAGTCTTTGGGAGCAGAGCTGAGGCATGGCTTCTGTGACAGGAGAAGGCTCTCAGGCAAGCGGGTGGGGTGACAGGATGTGGTAGCAGGCCACAGGGTTGCCAGCCAAGACAAATGGGCGTCAGTCCTGGTTTGAGGCCAAGGTATTTGCCTCGTAGTTGGAGACTTGTCAGCCAACGCTGAGGCCATTCTCCTGGCAGCGGGATTCTGAGTAGGGCCAGGAGTCTCTGCTGGCCCAAACCTTCCACCAGCAGGACTGCAGCACTGATGTGAGGGGGTGCCCAGGTTTGTTTCCACCCTGTATTAGCTAGGACAGAGGGACAGGCGGGCGGGTATCCTAGAATGAGCAGCTTTGTGTGGGGGGGGGGAAGGGGGGACCTTGTCTCTGTGACCAGAATCACTGTCTTCAAAAACTACATCTTCTCCAAGCCTTACTGGGATTCACCCAGCAGGAGGGAAGGCCCAGCACAGTGTGCCATGCTGAAGAGGGAGGCCAAGAAGGAGAAAGCCAGGACTCTGCCTTCTCAAGCCTTCCTCCTCCTCCAGCGCAAGAACCTATCCACGAGGCCCGGTGACGGGTGTGCTGGAGCTCACAGTCACTGTACTGATGGCTGCCTCGCTTGCTCCTTCCCAGACTGCCCAGACGCCCTACACGCCAGAAGCCCAGAAGGAGTGCCGGAGCCCAGAGGAATACTATGACAGGGTGATTCACATGTGCTGTGCGAAGTGTCCACTTGGTGAGCGGCAGCTGCTGGGGTTTGGGATGGCGGTACCATGGAGGGGCTGCTTGTCCAGGGATGAGGGTCGTAAATTCTCCCTGGGCTGCTTCTAGGGACATACATTCTAGGGCCCATGATTCAGCTTTCGTGCATGCTGCCTCCGCTCAGCACACTTCTTAAAGCCTTCTCTTGGTTAACACCTACCTACCTACATTTTAGACCCCGTACTCTTGTCCAGGAAGCCTGCCCCACACTGTAATGATGGCCTGCTTTTCTCATAGCCCCACTGTGTGCTCCTCTAGAGTAGACACTGCAGCTTGGTCCTGCAGAATTCCCAGCACGTGCCTGGCCCATAGAGATGTCCTGTGTGTAATTATCGAGTCAGTAAATGCATAGCTATATCCTAGATAGTGGACCTGAGCCCTGGTTGCAGTGCAGAGGACTGAGCAGCTGGCCCCCCCTGTCAATCAAGTGTATGCATTCACTTGAGAAGTATTTGTAATGCACCTACTGTGTGCTCAGTCTGCTGGGATTATAGCAGAATGCTGGGCAGACATACCTGACCCTCATCCTCGTGGAGTTGACTTTCTTTTTCTTTTTCTTTTTAAAGTAAGATTTACTTAGTTTTATTTTACATGTTTGGGTGTTTTGTCTGCATGTATGTCTGTGCACCACATTCATGCAAATGCCCTTGGAGGTCAGAAGAGGGCATTAGATCCTATACTCTTGGCAGTATAGATTGTTGTCTGTCACCCTGTGGCTGCCAAGATTCGAACCCAGTCTTCTGGAGGAGCAGCCAGTGCTCCTAACTGCCAAGCCATCTCTCTGGTCCCAAGTCTGCTTTCTAACGGAGGACAGACAAATTACCTAAGACATATGTGGTGCTGTCTGCCAGGAGGTGCTGTGGTGGAGAGAAGGTTACACAGGGCCAATGGAGACAGACAAGGGTGGGTGCTCAAGATGAGGTTGGGTGGTCCAGGAGGGCCTCTCTGAGCCCTGTAAGGGGACGGGAACAAGCCACACAGACATACTGGAGACAGCAGGCCAGGAAGTAAGTGGATGCCCCTAAGGTGGAAGGCCCCCAAAGGAGCCTGTGTAGTGAGCTCAAGGAACCTTAGGCTGGTAGGCGTGGCCCAGAGTAAAAAGAGTGTGATGGGAGACAGGGACGAAGAGATGAGGCCTAGGGAGATGGCTCAGTGTGTAAAGGCACCTGCTGAGAGAGCCTGATGACCTGAGTTTGATGCCCTGAACCAGTGGTGGTAGGAGAGAGCAGGTTACACACACACACACACACACACACCATGCCACCACTACCACCACCATCTTGATAATAATATATGTTTGATTAAGTGAGATGAGCAGCGTCAGCACGAAGAACTCAGATTTTATTTACTGGAGACTTCGTGTCATTTGCTTGAGACCCAGTGGGCAGGAACACAGGAGCATGAGCACACACCATCACTGAGATACTCCGGGGACACTGGCTTTTCTACAGAAGAGAACCCTAAAACCTAAGGGCTTCCTTTGAGACTTCGGCCCTTGCTTTCTCAGGCCAGCATGTGAAGCATTCCTGCAACAAGACCTCAGACACTGTGTGTGCTGACTGTGAGAAGGGCACGTTCACCGAGCTCTGGAACCATCTCTTCAGTTGCCTGAGCTGCAGGCCTTCCTGTCCCGCTGGTGAGTGGCCTGAGTGGGACATCTCCCCTCGTCACTAGCCCTCCAGCCTACTGAGGAGGATGGGGTTACCCTGGGCCAGTTGTTTTCATCTTCCGGGACATGAGTGGCTCTTTACCACATGTATGTACTTATGTGGCTGGAACCTGGTCCTTCACGCCGGTGAAACAAGCATTTTTTTTTTTTTTAACAGAGCTACACCAATCCCCAGACCTTTTAAATTTGTTTTGAAAGGGTTTAATTTATTTGTAATTGTACAGGTGTGGGTATTTTTGCTGGCATGTAGTGTCCATGAAGGCTAAAATGGAGCATCAGATCTAGGATGAGTTACAGACCTTTGTTAGACACCGTGTAGGTGCTAGGAACTAACTCCAGGCCCTCTGTGAGAGCAGCCAGGTTCTTAATGGGGGAGCCATCTTTCTAGCCCTTCATTTAATTTTATTTGCAGTTTTGGGAGTTGAAAAGAGGGCCTTGTAGTGCTCTTTCACTAAGCTTCATCTTTCTGGAGCCCTTTACCTTTGAGATAGGATCTTGCTAGATGGCTCAGGCTAGCTTGGACCTAATGGACTTCCTGCCTTAGCTTCCTGAGTAACTGGGATTGCAGGTCTGCATTCCCAGACATGGCTTTCAGTTCAGGTTTTCTGTTTGATGATGATGATGATGATGATGATGATGATGATGATGATGATGATGATGATGATTATTTTACCAGATAGAGTTTCTTTGTGTAATGTTGGTTGTCCTGGGACTGACCTAGCTCTGTAGACCAGGTTAGCCTCTAACTCACAGAGATCCATCTGCCTCTGCCTCTTGAGCGCTGGGATTAGAGGTATGGGCCACCGCCTGCCTCCCAAATGTTTTTGTTTTGAGGTGAATTTTTGCTAAATTGCCCAGGTTGGCCTGGAACTTTCTCTGAGGCCCAGGCGAGCTTTGAACTTACAACCATCCTGTCTTAGCTTCCCCAGAGTTGGGGTTACACATGTGTGACACCTTTCCTGGCCCCTTCCAGGTGACGTTTTCCTTCTAGATCCCGCCAAATCTTCATCTGGTCTCTTAAGTAGGTGGTGGGGAGGTGAGGTCAGAGTTGAGGAGGTAGAGCCCAGAAGAACAGCTGTGTGTATTCACACTGTGGTGGAGTTGGGAGCACAGACGATATGGGACAATGCGCCAGGTCAGAGCCTGTGCTGGGAAACCTGGCAGCTCTGGGGGGGAGGGCAGAGTGGGTGAGTGGAGGTGGGAATGACCCTGGCTGTCCTCCCCTCCTCTAGACCAGGTGGAGGTTCATGCCTGCACTAGACAGCAGAACCGATTGTGTGCCTGCAAAGCTGGCCAGTACTGCGCCTTGAAAACAAGTTCTGGCAGCTGTCGGCAGTGCATGAAGATGAGCAAGTGTGGTCCCGGCTTCGGAGCGGCCAGCACAAGTGAGGACCCCTCTTCCTTCCCCACATGAGCATCCCTGAGGTGTCACAGGCCTCGGCCTCTCAGCCTCACCTAGGAACCCCCCAGTGGCTGCCGTGTGCATCTGTGTATCTGTCTCCTGGAACCCCTGGTTATACTGAGCCCTAAGCTGGTAGGACATCAGATGGGGCCGGAAGGTAACCCTGGAGAGCAGGCTCATATACATGTATGGGCGTATTTGTACACGCATGTGTATGTGTGTTTATTGCATGTGCCTGTGTGTAGACGTGGGTACGTATGTATAGGTATGTGTGTTAAGAGAGAGAATTACAAACAGGCCTCCCTTGTGGCCCCCACTGCTAAGATAATCCCCGCCTGGCTGCATGTAGTGCTCATGTTGTTGACAAGCTCTGGATTTTCTCTTCAAGGGTCCAAAAATGGAAATGTGGTATGCAGGGCCTGCGCCCCAGGAACCTTCTCGAACACCACGTCCTCCACTGATATGTGCAAGCCTCACCGCACGTGAGTGCTGACTTCCTGGGTTCTGAAGGAGCAGGGAGGGCGACCCCTGGGTGACCGGGGCCTGGGATTGTCACTCATTGTCTCTGGGACAGCCAACGGGTGATGTGAGCAGAAGCCTGACGTGGATAGAGTGATGTTGGGTGAAAATAATTGGGGGGGAGGTTACGTGAGGGGGTGGTGCTAAGGAGGTGTGGCTCACACTTGGTTGCTTGGCTGTGGGGATCCTTGTCCTCCGCCGGCTCCCCGGAATAAGCTCACTGTCTGTGGTCTTCCTCCCTCAGCTGTAGCATCCTGGCCGTTCCTGGAAATGCAAGCATGGATGCAGTCTGTGCACCCCAGTTCCCAACTCCAAGCACCATCCCAAGGACAGTCTACAAATCTCAGCCAGAGCCCACAGGATCACAGCCGCCAGAGCCCACAGGATCACAGCCGCCAGAGCCCACAGGATCACAGCCGCCAGAGCCAGAGCTGCGGTCCAGCCAAATGCCAAACACCTCCTCTGTGGTCTCCACCCCCAAAAGCGAACAGGTCACTGTAGGTGGCATCTCTCTTCCAATTGGTGAGTCCCAGACTCAGGAGTGACCCAGCCAGGCTTGGAAGTGCACAGTCTGAGCTACTGCTGAGGCTGAGACAGAAAAATTGCAAGTTCAAGGCCAACCTGGGCAACTTAGTCAGAGCTTGACTCAAAATAAAAATACTTTTAACGGGTGCTGAGGATGTAGCCTAGTGGTGGGGTGTTCAACCAGCTTGGGGGTTAAATCACCAACAAAAATAAAATAAAAAGGGAGCTCTCTCTCGCTCCTTTCTTCTCACCTCCTCTCTTGCTTCCTGAAGGTTCTGTGTAAGCAAACCTAGGAGCCTGGTCTCTGTCCTTCTCAGCAGGTGCAGGTGTGGGAGAGCTGGGTCTCCAATGACCTGATGTTGTCATAGAGATTCCCTGGGTGGGGAGAATGTGAACATAGGTTCTGATGGCTGGTTCTGCTGAACCCATTTGGCCCACAAGACTATGGGATTAATTATGTATCTGGATTCCCTTTGGGGTTAGGATGGCTCCAAGCCCGAGGCCCTAGACTGTGGCCCTCTGGCTGCATGCAGTTCACAGATGTTGATCTTGGCTTTGTCACTGAATTTGAGGCCCTAAGGCTGGACTTGTTACCCCCAGCCCCAGTGGCCCTGGCACCTTCATTTCTGAGCACCCTACTTTCTCCCTAGGTTTGATCGTGGGGGTGACAGCTCTGGGTCTGATGGTGTTGGGGTTTGTGAACTGCTTCATCCTGGTGCAGAAGAAAAGTAAGTTCTGCTCCCTCCCGTTCCCAGGTCCCCGCCCCCTTCCTGCCACTTTCCTGGGTGCCTCCGGTTGTGGTCTAGCACAGAGCATGACACTATCATAGACTCAAAGGATCTGGAAGCTGTAACCTTTTGTTCTCTAGGAGCTTAGGGTCTGGGGCAGAAGGTATAGCCTCTAACCTGGCTACCGGAGGCAGTGCCAAGGCTATCCCAGGGGATTGACCGTCAGGATTCCTGTACAGGAAGCCTGGGGTCTGTGGGGTCTGTGAGGTCTGTGAGCTGGCCTGGGTCTCCGTGGGCAGAATGTGGTTGAGGCAGGGCTGCTGGCACAGGCTGGTCTGGAGGATGGCTGGGGGCGGGGCATAGTGGCTGAGAGTAAGACGGGCTCATCTGTGGCCCTTACCTGGGCAGCTATCCCCTGCACTGTGTCCACCCCGCTGGCTCTACCCTAGCCATGCTATGCTTATTAGGATAGATGAGATGAACAAGTCCTTCTCCTGACTTGTCCCCCATCTCTTTTGTAGAGAAGCCCTCCTGCCTTCAAAGAGAAGCCAAGGTGGTAAGCATCCCTGTGTCCTCCTCCTCCTCTTCTTCCTTATGGGTGCCATAAGCAACATCATGAAAGCAGCAGCGAATGGGTATGGTGGCGCATGCCTGTCATCCCAATAGCTGGGCCAAGTAGAGTCTGGGGGACCAGGAGTTTAAAGGTTCCCTCAGAGCCAGCTGACGTCTAGCTACATTCCAGCTGGGAAGAAACAGGCCAGCTCTTGCCTGGCTGGGCATAGCCAGGATCTCCCTGTGCTGTGTCCAGCTCCTCACTAGAGAGATGAGGAAACTCAGGCTTAACAGCTACTGTCCTTATAAGGTTGGGGTGTGTCCTGGTGCCTAAAGCCTCTGAGCAGGCGGGTTTGGCTGACACATCCAAATCTATCTCAGCCTGGTCGCTCCCAGCAGGGCCTGCTCTCCAAAGTTGGTCACCAGGAGTTGGAGAGCCTAGATGCCACTCTTTGCCCGTCCCTGGCTCCTGTCAGCCGCCTGCCTCAGGGCTCCACTTGGGGGCTGAGCAGATGGTGTCCTCATGTGCTGGAGTGTGGCTGTCAGGCAGGACCAGCAGTGACTCAGCTCCTACTCTGAGGGCTGGGAAAAGTAGGGTTATTTGGAGAAACAGTGTGTGACTTCATCCATGCTTCCTCCAGTCATGCACACGGCCTCACGTTTAGTCATCACCAGTTGTTGGGTACTGAACTCATGCCAGCCCTATCTGAGGTCTTACAGGCTCTTGCTGGCTGGCTGTGACACAGGCTGTGAGGTTATTGCCCCCAGCTTTAGAGTCTGGGACACAAGGCCCAGACACTCTTAATCAGTAACTGTCCTGAGGTGGCACAGCTGATGGGCATGGCCTGGAGCACAAACTTAGGAACGTATTTCACTACCTGACATACAATCACTTCGCCACTCTTAGGCATGCCCAAGTGGCCCTACACATATAGGCACCCTTAGCTCGGAGGCCTACAGGAGCCAGCCTTGCCCCTGCCCATGCCAGCCCAGTATAGCAGGCCCAGGCCCAGAACTGTAGGAGGACCTCAGCTTCCTCGGCGCTCACTCCATGGGGTCCCCAGCCAGAGTCACACGACTATGATGGTGTCTGTACCTGAACATTGCAGCTTGTGGCTTTGAGGAGGGAGCTAGCTGTGACCTTTGGGGGATTCTGTTCTGCCTGGCTCTACCACAAGCAGAAAGGGGGAGGCCCAGCTAGAAAATCTCCTTCTCTGTGGCTGGTGAGGTGTGACATTTATGAGCGCTTCTGAAGGGCAATGATTGGGTAAGGCTGGGGCCAAGGTCAGATTGTGAAGTCAGAATGCCACCTTCCATCCCTTCCAGACTGGGGTACCCAGCTGGCAGGACCCCAGGGGAGGCAGGACGATGCAGTGTGCATGCTTCCACATTCTGACCTGGCTTCTCTTGCTGTGGTCATCAGGTCATCAGCCAGCTCTGTAAAGCTGAGCACAGGATTCACCTTCTGTGGGCTTTTCTGGCCTTGTGGGGACAGCTTGCGCAAGGTCCTTCCAGTCCAGAGTCAGAAGCTGTGGGCTGGGTAGGAGACAAGGACTCAAGACTACGGGACACGCCTGGCCACCTAAGAAGCCATGGCAACGGTGGATACACACAATTAAAAATTAAAATTTTTTTTTCCCCAAAAAGAACAAAGTTACTATCTTAAAAAAAAATTGGAGCCGTTGGAAAACATGAAGATCATTACGGCTCCCAGGCTGAACCAGCCTGAGTGGAATCCTTCTGCCAAGTTCCTTTTTGTTGTTTTGTTTTGTTGTTGTTTTCTAGACAGGGTTTCTGTGTGCAGCCCTGGCTGTCCTGGAACAGCTCTGTGGACCAGGCTGGCCTCGGACTCATAGAGAACCTCTGCCTCCCCAGTGCTGGAATTAAAAGGCCTGCACCACCACCGCTGGACCTCTGCCAAGTTCTTATAAACAGTGTCCCATGTAGGGCTCTGAGCACAACTATTCTTGATCTTCCCAGGTGCTTAGCGTTTACAACAACCCAAGGACATAAGCTGTAATTCTTCCTTTATACAGGGGAACATGGAGGTCCAGAGAGGTTAGGTAGCTTTTTCAAGGTCACACAGCCAGGGAGTGGTAGAGTTAGGAACTTTAGACTCAGGTGGTCTAGATTCAGAAATCAGCTCTTAGCTACCAGGCTGGGGACATCTCCCCAAGCTGATGAATGACCTTCAGAAAGTTGCTTTTTCCATCTCCTTTTGTGGGCCGAGGGTGAAAACCTTTGGTTCCCTGTGTGTAGAAATGTTGTGGCGTGGGCAGAAGTGTGTAAGCTGTGGAGCGTTGGTGGCAGGGGAGACAAGGAGAGCAAAGGCACCAGCAGGTGGGTTCATCTTTTCCCCTCTCCTTCCCAGCCTCACCTGCCTGACGAGCAGTCCCGGGGTGCGACAGGCCTTGAGCAGCAGCACCTGTTGACCACAGCACCGAGTTCCAGCAGCAGCTCCCTCGAGAGCTCAGCCAGCACTAGAGACAGGAGGGTGCCCCTTATGGGCCACCCCCAAGCAACGGCCACAGAGGGAGCCCAGGGGTCTCAGGAGGCCTGTGCAGGTTCCAGGAGTTCAGGTAAGAGGAGGGAACCAGCTGGCTCCTCCTGTGCTGGACACATGGGCGGGCCTCCACCCAACCCAAGAGGAACATGCCTTTAGTGCCCCTGGCAACGTGATGACTGACGGATGTGGCTCTGAGCCATTGCCCAGTGTCGTGGGAGAAGGTCCTCTTGCATTTCGCCAGTTCTGAAAAAGGTCCAGGCTCACAGTGCTAGGCACAGCTTCTACGAAACGGGTGTATCAGGTTCCCACCAAGTTGCAAAATCTTGAGTCCGACCGCTGTAAGTGAAGCCAGGGGCCTGTGCATCTCTTGCCTAATCGCTGCTAGTGTCCTGGAGCTGCCCCATGTAGGCGTCTGCCCCGGCTCCCCTCCTGTTCCCTGCTCATATGCGGCACAGCCACTTTGGACATCTAAGTTTGAGCCCACCTTGCCCTGTGCTGGCCCTCTCGCTGGCTCACCCTTCTGCTAGATACTCCCGCTTTGGCTTTTAAGTCTCCTGTCTCAGCTGAGAGAATTCCTAATAATACTCAGCTGAGAGTATTCCTAACCCCCCCTCCCCATGCTGGCTTGGCTGTTCTTGGGGATTTCTGCTCCACAGGATTGTCTGTCGTCTGCCCTTCACAGCCCTGTGTGATTCTCTAAAGCCATGTCCTGCTTACACCCCTGATTTTTTTTTTTTTTTTTTTTTTAGTTTTTGGAGACAGGATTTCTCTGCGTAGACCTGGCTGTCCTGGGACTCACTTTGTAGATTTGTAGATCAGGCTGACCTTGAACTCAGAGAGCCACCTGCCTCTGCCTCCCAAGTTCTGGGATTAAAGGCGTACAACACCCTGCCCTGCTTGCTCTGTCTAGTTTTATAAGCCAGGCTGTGATACACCAGTCATTATCCTGGGTGCTTTACCTGAACCAAACCTGCCTATGACACTAAGAGGTAGTTACCATTATCATTCCATTTTCCAGATGAGAAAATTGAGGCCCAGAAAGGTTAATCACCTTGTTAGGAGCGCACAGCTAGTGTACCCAAGCACCAGGAGTCTGAGCTGTGGGCTTCAGAGTCCTGGAACAGGGAGATGAATAAAACAGCTCCCCCAGGGTTCTAAAAAAAAAAAAAAAAAAGCAAGGTGGTGTGGTGCACGCCTTTAATTCCAGTGCTCATGGAGGCAGAGGCAGGTGGTTCTCTGTGAGTTAGAAGCCAGCCTGGTCTACAGAGGGAGTTTCAGGATAGCCTGGGCTACACAAGGAAACCCTGTCTTGAAAAAAAAATTATGTGTATAGATGTTTTATCTGTATGAATGTCTGTGTACTATGGGTGCGCATGGTGTCTGTGGAGGCCAGAGGAGGGTGTCAGATGCCCTGGAACTGGAGTTACAGATGGTTGTGAGCTGCCACGTGGGTGCTGGGAACCGAACCCAGCCCCTCTGAAAGAGCAGCCAGTGCTCTTAACTGCTGAGCCGTCTCTCCAGCCCCATTCTGTGGGGCTCTCCTCACCGTAGCTCACTGAGGGCTCCTTTGGGCCAGAGGCATGGTGTGCGGACCTGTTGGGATTTACTCCATCTGCATCTTACCCTAGATAGATACGATCTATCACAGAGACGCGATTGGCATTTCCATTGTCCATGGTGGAGTCCCTGGCGGGGTTTGCTGGAACCCTGGCATTTCCTTTGGTTTGTTTTGTAGTGGAAAGGTCAGGTCTACCGGCCTTTGTCCCTCTCCCTCAGCGGCACTGGCTGCTGGGGCAAGAGAAGTAAACATGAAATTGGTCATTCACCCAGAGCAATCTTGGGGCCATGAGAATCCAAGCCGGCTCCTAAATCCCATGAACCTCCATTTCCTCATCTGGCGATGAGCTGTGAGCCTCCTGCTGTTGATGAGAGAGTGTGGCATTTTGCACCTGACAGGGCACTGACAGCCGCAGCCACACGACCCCCACCCCCACCCCCCACGATTGCCTCCTTTGATGCCCACATTCTGTTGCTGCCCTAACTGCTGTGCCCTGTGCTTGCTTGTGCCCATGCAGCATCCCTGCCACCTGCTTGCCCACAGGAGCCTCCACGTCAGCTTCCGTTTTGGCCGTCGGAGCCCCCAGCCTCACCAGCCTGGGTGCCTTGTCAGGGCTTGTCATCTTTCGTGGCTTTCTTTCCCCCTCGGTGTCCCTCTGTGGCTCCCTCCTTGGCCTCCTTTCTCCTCTGACCTCTGCCCCCTCCTCTGTCTTCTCCCAGGTGTTCTGTACCCTGTTTCCCTGACCTTCCCACTGCTTTGCTCTCCCCGCCCTCTACCATGGGAGCCTGTTAACCCTAGAACCATGCCTCTACCTGCCCCACAGTTTCTTGTTCGTAACATGCAAAGGCCATGGTGACTTCGCATGACATTTGACTTCTGTGGAAGCCCAGGGTAGAAATGTCTTTGTGGTCCCTTGATTTCAGCTCTCTCTCTGCCTGGTGTTTTTGAGGCTGCACTGAGCAGAGTGGCTGGCTCCATCCCACCCCAAGCTTCCTTGAGTTCCAGTGTCCTGGAGTCAGGAGCCGGGCTGAACAGCCAGCTGCCACTGCTATCCGCCCAGCAGCTTGTGCAAGCTCAGCTTCTGCAAGCTCAGCAACAGCAGTAGCAGCGGCAGCTGACATGCCACTGACATTTGGGGTTAACTGTTGTGTACCAAGCCCTTTATATCCACCCCTGCTGGCCTGACATCTACTCCTCACCAGCTTAGGAAAGTTAGAGGCCCACAGGGGCCAGGTAGGGTGATGGGTGTCCTTGACCTCCCTTCTGACCATGGCATCTGCTTCTCCATATCCCAGTGGTAGGGATCAAACGCCTTGTGTGTGATAGGCAGGCCTTTCCCTCTGAACTGTGCCTCCCACCCCAGAGCTTTAAAATGCCAGCCTCCTCAGTCCAGGGTTTTGTTCTTGGAGCACTTTCGTCTGCTTTAGACAGTTCTCTCCAATCAGTCATAGGAAGAGTTGGGCTGGGCAACTGGGAGGTGAGCAAGAATCTTTGGCCTCCTGGTCCTTGGCCTAGCGCTCTTTCCCACAATCTTAACCTACCTCTGTGATGAGAAGCAAGCTTCAAAGACACCCCAACTCCAGGAACCCCAGACTTAATCCCTACCCATCTTGTGCTTCACAGATTCTTCCCAAGGCAGCCACGGGACCCATGTCAACGTCACCTGTATTGTGAACGTTTGTAGTGGCTCCGAGCACGGCTCGCAATGCTCTTCCCAAGCCAGCGCCACAGTGGGGGACCCAGATGCCAACCCCTCAGGGTCCCCAAAGGACGAGCAGGTCCCCTTCTCCCAGGAGGAGTGTCCTTCTCAGTCCCAGCGGGAGACCCCAGAGACACTGCGGAGCCACGAGAAGCCCTTGCCCCTTGGTGTGCCTGATGTGGGCATGAAGCCCAGCCCTCCAGGCTGGTACGACCAGCTTGCAGTCTGACCCCGGCGGGGGGAACAAGCTGCAAGGAGACCCCCAGGCCTTCTAGACCCTCCCCCCACAGGACTTCATGACCCTCTCTGGGTCCAATCCCCTTAGCGGCCTGGGCAGCCCTCCTTGCAGGTCAAGAGAGGGCTGGGGCAGCTAGGGCGATGGAAAACTCCTGCTGTTCTACAAGGCAGTCCCAGCAAGTCCTCGCTCTTCTGTGACCCTCCCGGGCTCTGGCCTCATTCTGCCTTCTGGGAGGCCCAGTATCTTTCCCTCCTAAGCAGCCAATGTCCTCCTCCATATACTTGGAGAAAGGACAGCAGCTTTTTAGCCTGGTGCTGACACCGCAGGGCGGTCCCAGCAGGAAGGCGGAAGTGCTGGCCTTGTAGGACGAAAAAGCCCTTCAGGTTAGTGCTAGACTCTTGGGAAGTCTCCAGACCCACCAATCCTTCTGATTCAAGGGTCAGCTTCACAGAGGCCCGACTGGCCTTGCTCTCCTGCAGGGTGCTGGGGCTATAACTCTGTGATACTGTGTGCTCTTAGCCCTGGGTTTGATCCCAGGCCCACATACAAAAAGTAAGTACATGCAGTCAACAGCACAGCCAGCCTCCTGTGTGAGTCACCTGCTCTGCTTTGACTTTTACTCCAGTGGACAAGCAGAGAGTCGCTGCTCTTCCTCCTGGCCTTCTAATGAGCCTTTCAGGGAATCTCAGGGACTGTAGACCCCAGGCCCCTGCAGCCACCTGTCTCTTCCTACCTCAGCCTGAAGCACTCTCTAACTCCCCAGCGGCTTGGTACTGTACCCTCGGTGACCCTGAGTGCATGTCCCGGCCCACCTGGAAACAGCTGAAGCCAGCTATTTGCCAAAGGATTCGTACCCTTTTTCTAACCAACCTGCTCCCCTAGCATGCCCAGATCTGGAAGGAGAGGATTCAGGAGACTCTTTAAGAGGCAAGCTCAGTCCCAGGTGCTTGGGTTCCGTATTCACAAATTCCACTGGGTATGAACTGGGTGCAGGAGCCCAATTGTTACCATGGAGACTTAAAAGCTCAACACTGACATCAAGACTTGGACGGGCTACTTAGGTCTGCGGCATCAGACTGGAGAGGCGATGGAACACGTCTGCCCCCTGGTGGCCAGTACTGGGATGACCTCGGTCTTCCTAAGCAACAACAGCATGAGTTGAAAGGACTATTTCTGGGCGTGGCCTCAGCCCCCGAACATTTGTGCATCCCAACAGGGTCCATTCAGGAGCGCTACACTGTATTCCTGGGCAGAGTTCCTGCTTATAAATGCTTTTGTTGTTGTTTTGCACACTGATCCCTGGCTGTGTCTGGGGGATGGTTTGGAATTTTTCTGTAGTCCTCCAGGCCTACCTCTAATGTGTGAGGAGAGATGGGGTCATGGTTAATTGGGTCCAGGAGGCATGTAGTGAAAGGCTCTGGAGCCACCCCACCCCCTACCCCACCTTTCCAGCCGCCCTTGCTGAGAACCTGGCTGTCTCCCACTTGTAGCCTGTGGATGCCGAGGGAGCTTCCAGCCAGCTGGTCTCTAAGTCTGGCCTTTTCATTTCGTTCTGGGAAGGAGGTGGGTTCTGCCATTTGGGAAAACCACACCATAGGTCTGGCAATGGCTGTAGCACAAGCCCATCCCTGGGGTGCTTAGACCAGCTCGGCTATGTGAGCAGCGGCATCGGCTGGGGAACAGTTTGCGTGCTGACCTCTTGACACATTCCTGAGGGATGACGGTTTTCTAGAACCTCTCTCCTTTTCTTTGTATGTGTGTGGATGCATGTTTGTATATATCTGTGTGCCTCTGTGTGTATGCATGTTTGCATGTGTGTGTGTGTGTGTGAGGCGGCAGCGGTTGGTTTTGGGTTTTTGATCACTCTCTATCTAACTACGGAGGCAGGACTCTCATCTATACCCAGACTTGTCTCTGCCTCTAGAGGGCTGGGATTACAGGCGGGCGGCCTTGCCTGCCTGGCATTTACACGCATACTAGAGGTCTGAATTCTGATCCTCATGCTTGTGTACCGGGCACCTTACTCACGAGACACCTCTCCAGGTGCTCCCCCTCCCCTTTGATGACTTAATTTTGGATTGGCAAGATGGCTCAGTGGGAAAAGGCGATTGCTGACAAGCCGGATGGCTGGAGTTGGATCCCCAGGGTCATGTAGCAGAAGAAGAGAAGTGACTCCAGCAAGTTGTCCTCTGACCCCCCCCCCACATACATGCTTCTGCACACCTGTGCAAGTACATCCACACACACAGTAAATGTAATAAAAATTTTAAAATACATTGATTTTATTTTTATCATTATTTTTGCTTATTATCTGTGTGTTTATAGATGGGGCCTTGCTATATAACCAAGCTGGCTGCATACTCTAGGCACCTCAAACTTGCAATTCTTCTGCCTCAGTTTCCAGAATGCTGAGATAATAGCCATGTGCAACCATGTTTTGGCATTACATTTTTTACTTTACTTAATCTTATCTTTTCATGTAGGTCTCATATATTCCAGGTTGGCATCAACTTCCTGGAAGGATGACCTTGAATTTTATCTCCTCTAGTCCTCCTCTACTCCTCAAGGGTCGGGATTACAGGCGTGTTCACACTGTGGGTCATGTGCTGAGGATTGAACCCAGGCCCCTCAAGCATGCTAGGCAAACACAGCCAACCAAGCATATGCCCAGCCCCACACTTTGCTTTTCACCTGTGAATTACTCATGTGGTTGCCAAGCAGACAACCATAATGGAGTTAAGTCCCCCCAATACAGGTGACCATCATTCTGCTCCCGAGGAACTCTGCACTTGGCTTTGCCGAAGCTCTATTTACTAAAGAATGCTTATGGAGTTCAAGATCCCCCACAGCAGAAGTTCTCAACCTGTGGGTCACATATGTGACCACCTCCGCGGTCACACATAAGATATTTGCATTGCAATTCATAACAGTAGCAAAGTTACAGTTATGCAGTAGCAAGGAAATAATTTTTTTGAGACAGGGTTACTTTGTGTAGCTCTGGCTGTCCTGGAACTCACTCTGTAGACCAGGCTGGCCTCGAACTCAGAGATCTGCCTGCCTCTACCTCCCAAGTGCTGGGATTAAAGGCATGCCCCACCATGCTCAGTGAAACAAAATAATTTTATGGTTGGAGGTTACCAAAACCTGAGGAACTGTATTAAAGGGTCATAGAATTGGGAAGGTTCAGAACCACTGCCCCAAAAGGTAGCAGAGGTTGGTAATAGCATTTTTTGAAACTTTGTGTATGTGTGTGTGAAAAGCTCGAGGAGGTCAGAAGAGAGTGCTGAATCCCCTGGACCTGGGATTTCAGACAGTTGTGAGTTGCCAAGTGGGTGCTGGGAACTGAACTTGGGTTTTCTGCAAGAGCAGCCAGTGTGTTTGACTGCTGAGCCACTGATCTAGCCCCGCTTAGAATTTTTTAAGTTTAAAAATTTAGCATTCTATTGGGGGAGGGGGATAGTGCATGTCTGTAATGGCTGTGAGTTCAAGGCCATCCTGGTCTACAAAGTCCAGGACAGCCAAGGCTACACAGAGAACCTTGTCTCTAACAACCAAAAGTAAATAAATAAATAGCGTTCTGCCAGGTACAGTGCATGTCTTTAATCCCAACGCTTGTGAGGCAGAGGCAGGTGGATCTCTATGGCCTGATCTACACAGTGAGTTCCAGGCCAGCCAAGACTACATGGTGAGTCCTTGTCTCCAAATATATATACAATTCTTGAGGCCAGACAACTAGCTTGGTGGGTGAATGGCCTTTCTGCTGAGACTGACAACCTGAATTTTGTCCCAAGATGCGCACAATGGAAGGAGAGAACTGACCGCCCTGACCACCACTCATGCACTTACCCACACACACAATGGATAAAATAAACAAAATTTAAAGGTTTTAAAAGTATGTAGTATCCTTGGCTCGAACTAGAGCTCAGCTGAGAAAGTGTTTGCATGCACTGTGCTTAGTCCAGAGCAATGCATTTACCGGATGGCCTGTAATTCCAGCCCTAGGAGGCAGAGGCAAAAGGTTACATGCCTAGTTCAAAAACAGCTTAGGCTACATGAGAACTTGCCTCAGAAAGGAGGAGGAAGGAAAGGAAGAAAGAGAAAGAAAGAAAGAGAGAGAGAGAAAAGAAAAGAAAAAAGAAAAAAATTCTAGCATTGTTCTTTTGACTAGACATTTTACAGATCATCTGCCAGTCAGAGTTTAAGCCTTGTTTTAAAACATTGCAACACTGTATCAAAGCAGGAAACACAAATATATTATTTCATCAGTTATTTTTCTCTGTGCCATGAGGAAATACCTAATAAAAGTAACCTAAGGGAAAAAAGGTGTTTGTTTGTTTGTTTGTTTGTTTGCTTGTTTTTGGCTCCTGGTTTGAGAGTCCAGCTGGTCATGGAGGGGAAGGCGGGGCAGCACACACAGGAGGTGGCTGGCCACATTTCATCTGCAGCCAGAAAGTGAGCGAGCAAGATAGAGAGAGAGAGACAGAGACAGAGAGAACCACTGATCAGATCACTTTTTCATTTGGTTCAATCCATGACCCTGTCCCTTAGAGCAGCGGTTCTCAACCTGTGGGTCGGGACCCCTCCGGGAGTCTCATATCAGGTCTCCTGCATATCAAATCTTTACATTACGATTCATAACAGTAGCGAAGTTACAGTTATGATGTAGCAACAAAATAATTTTATGGTTGGGGTCACCACAACCTGAGGAACCATATTAAAGGGTCACAGTGCTGGAAAGGTTGAAAACCGCTTTCTTAGAGGGTGAGATTTCCCTTCTCTGTTCAACAACCCAGAAGTTTGCTTTCATGGCCGCTCTGAACAGTCAGGTTTGGCCGTGAAAATTAACTGCAGAACCACTCATTTTCTTATTGATTTGCAGATATTATGCAAAAACTAAATTAAAAGGTTCATGAACTCTTTTGTTGGGGTTAGGGGTGTGGCTAAGACAGGATCTCACTGTGTAGCCTTGGCTGTCCTGGAACTCATTAAGTAGACCAGGCTGGCCTTGAACTCACAGAGATCTGCCTGCCTCAGCCTTCAAAGCGCTCGTACCGCCACTCCCAGAACCTCATGAATTCTCTTTTGGGAATCTGGCTCGGAGAATTGAAATACCAAGGCTGTGGGTGCAGCTTAGTTGCAGAGCTTGTCTACATTCTGAGAGGCTCTGGCTTCAAGCCCAAGTCTAGAAAAAGAAAGAGAAGAAAAAGAAATTATGACTCAATCACTGATGTTATTTTCGAGACACCGTCTCATCCTCGTGATCATGGGAAAGTAGACAGGTGAGCTCTGAGCCGTGACTCAAGTGGGCCAAAAGCGCACAGTGCACACAGCTAGTGACGTGGCCACAGCCTGCTCTGAGTTTGCCATCTGAGCCAGGCCATGGCATTTTAAAGTATTCGTCATGCTTTCACAGCAAGCGACCTACTCAAGTCGGGGAGCTGCGCTTGGTATGTGTGTGGGGTGTGGGAAAAGTGGGGCCTGAGAGATACCTCATCTGTTAGGAGCACTGGCTGTTCTTCCAGAGGACCAGGGTTCGATTCTTGGCACCTACAAGGTGGCTCAGAACCCTCTGTAACCCCAGTTTCTGAGCATCTGATGCTATTTTGCCCGCCCCTTTTTTAAATTGATTTTGTCAGGACAGTTTATCACAGCAACGGAAAAGACGCTACAACAGATGGTGAGAGTCCTGGGCTGGGCTCCTTCTCAGATACGCCGCGTTCCTGCCGGAGGTACGCCCACTGCCAGAAGCTAGTCACCTCCTATCGGTACAATGTCCCTCCAGTGCGAGTGTGTGTGGTGCCTCACAGCCACCTGTAACTGCGGTTCCAGGGGATACGCCACCCTCTTCATGCACATAAAATAAAAATAAATAGAGGTTTGAGAGAGGAAGAAGCACGTGCTGAGAGTGTTTGGGAGTAAGGAACTTCTCCCAGCTGTGATCCCAGCGAAGCCAAGGAAATGGGCGCAGCTGCAGGCATCGGGGGAAGAGGGCCGGGGCAGCGGCAGGGGCTGGTTATGTGTGTACTTGTGTGTCCTGCTGTCTAACAGAGGTAAGAGGGCTCGCTGATGAGCCTGCTGACCTGGGTTTCATCCCCAAGATGCACACGGTGGAGAGAAATGACTCCTACAGTCACCCTTCAGAGACAGCAATGTTAGCATAGGCATGGTGGCGGATACCTGTGATCCCAGCATTTGGGTGGAGACAGGAGAATCAAGAGTTTAAGGTCATCCTTGGCTACACAGCAAGTGCGAGACCAGACTGAGTTGTATCAGATCCTGTCCTCAAACAAAGAAACAAACAAACAACCAAAACCAACAAAAAATGCCTCCACCTCTCAATGATAAGGATGCCTGTGTTTACACTGGACCAACCCAGGTGGTCCCAGGGACTGTCCTCATCTTAGGATCCTAAAAAGTTCTCGGTCAAAGGAGGCTCCAAATCCTTTTAAGGGGGTGTTCTCATTAGCCAGCCCCTCCCCCCAAACACTGTTGAGATACTTTTTCACTCCATCTTCTCTCACCCTGGCCCTGGCTTTGTCCCTCCCTCATCTTAGATGGCTTACCTGGCTGCCTGCTTCAGTAACACAAGGCCATGCCTGGCACTCCTAGCACTCCCTCCCCGCCCCCAGTGCCTATACCTGGGCCCATTTCCTTGGCTTTGCTGTGACCATGGCTGACAGCAGTTCCTTATTCCCATACACTCTCAACATATTCTTCTTTCTCTCTCAAATATCTGTCTAATTTTGTTTCATGTGTATGAATGTTTGCCCGCATATGTGGGCCATGTGCACACAGTGCCCTTGGAGACTAGAAGAGGGTGGCATATCCCCCAGACTGGAGTTACAGAAAGCACCATAGGGAATTGAACCTGATTTCTCTGCAAGAAATCTTAACTGCGAGCCATCTCCTCAGCCTGGGGCTTCTCTCTTAAGCCAAATGTATCGCTTTGGTGACTCCGCCTTCCCTCCCTCATCATCGGCCTCCTTCTCCACATTTTCCCTGTCTGCTTACAGACACAATGACCTTTTTGTTCTTTTCCCAAAACAACATCCCATCTCTCAGCAGAAAAACAGAATTAACAGTGTTGGTGAGATGTGGAGAGAGCGAACCCCTGTGCCCTGTGGGTGGGCTGTGAATCAGTGCAGCTGTTGCTGCAGATGGCGTGGAAGTCCCTCAGAAAGCTAACCATATGTAATGCACCCTGGATTCTGTCTCAGGCCCTGAAAACAAACCAGACATGGAACAATCATAGGATCCAGAAATCGTACTACGGATAGCCACCCGAAAGCATTGCAAACACACACTGTCCACAAGAAGAAAGCTACGGAAGCCAGGGGAACCCCACCAGTGATGGACAAAGACAAAATGTGCACTACACATAGAAGGCAAACGGCTTCTCAAGATGGTCCAGCAGCTAAGCGCATCCTGCTCTCGCAGGGAACCCAAGTTCAATTCCCAGCATTCCTATGATCACACCAGATGGATCAGAAGCATCTATTGCTACATCCCAGCTCCGGGGATCCAACACCATGAGTCTCCGCCCGTACCCGCATTCAGGTTCCATACCACACACATAATTTATACAAATCAGACCCAGGCATGGTGGCACATGCCTTTGATCTTAACACTTGAGGCAGAGGCAGGTATCGTTTGAGGCCGCCTTGGTCTATGTAGTGAGTTCAAGGCCAGCCAGAGTTACATGGTAGGATCTTGTCTCAAAAACCAAACACAAAGCCAAGATGGACACAGTGGTACACACCTGTAATCCCAGCACTTGGGAGGCAGAGGCAGGTGGATCTCTGAGTTCAAGGCCAACCTGGTCTACAGAGTGAGTCCAGGACAGCGAAGGCTACACAGAGAAACCCTGTCTTGAAAAAAACAAAAACAAACAACATTAACAGAAAACAATAGTGAGATCCTGTCTCAAAAAAGAGAGAAGGAGAAAGCATGTTTGTGTATATGTTAGAATGAAATCTCAAAAAAAAAAATAGAGGAAGTGATAGAGGCAGACACGTTATGTCAAACTCTGGCTACCACAGGCACAAGCACAAGCACAGGCATCCATACAGTCATCCACATGCACACACAACCTAAATAAAAATAAAAAAGAATAACAATTAAACTAAAAAAAGAAAATGGAAGCGGGGAAAATGGCTCAGTCTGCAAGGTGCTTACAGAGTAAGTATGAGGGCTTGAGTCCATACCTATGTTAAAAAACAACTAAACAAAACAAAAATTGGGCTTGAGAGATGGCTCAGTGGTTAAGAGCACTGACTGCTCTCACTGAGGACCTGGGTTCGATTCTCATCACTCACACGGTAGCCCACAATCAACTGTAACTCCAGTCCCAGGGGATCCGACACCCTCTTCTGGTCCCTACAGGCACTGCGCGCACGTGACACACAGACATACTTGCAGGCAAAACATTCACTCTAATAAAATGAAATAGCAAATTAAAAAGGCACTCGCCTGAAACTGCTTCATTCACACACCCCTACACACACGGAGATATAGTTGTACGTGCAAAAACAAATGGAAAGAATTATGATAGGCCCTGTGATACGAGCGAGGCTGAGGACAGGGTAAGCAAATGAAGCTGGTCACATGATCTCACGTGACTCTACTTCCATGAAAGACATAGAAGAGTCAAACTTGTAGGTGGAAAGCAGAATGCTGGTTTCGGGGGGCTGGGAGGCCGGCAGTGGGTCCATGTTGGGAACAGAGTTTCAGTTTCCTAAGGTGGAAAGAGTTGGGGAGATGGTCAGTAGTGAGGGTTGTGTGCCAGCATGAGTGGTGGAACGGTTAATGGGGGCACGGCTGTGGCTCAGTTGGTGAAGTGTTTGCCTAGAAAGCACCAAGCCCTGAGTTCCAACCCCGCCCGGTGTGGCGGTGCACCCCTCCGATCCCAGCCTTCAGGAAGCCGAGACAGGAGGATCAGAAGTCGGAGGACAGCTTGGATTCATGAGGCCCTGTCTCAAGAAAGCAAAATAAAATAAAACACTACCAGGAGACCTTGCCAAATCCTGATGACCAGGTCAAGGAGTATTTGCCATGTTCTCAGCTGATCTTGCTTTCTAGGCTCTGGGGTGCAGCGGCTCCTCAAACGGAGGCTGCTCAGGAAGCAGGTGGAAAGGAAACAGGCTGTCAGAAAGATAAAGGGGTGCTGGATACAAGGGACCCAGGAGTGGGACCACCCTTTTGGAGGAGTGGTCAGGAGGGGACTGGAGCCGAGGCCAAAAGGAGGAAGGAGGAACCAGGGCTCCTCTCCTGCTCAGGAAGGCAGGTGGGGTACAAAGATGGAAGCCAAGGGAGGAGCGTGTCAAAGAGCATCCCCCCTCTCCCCAGTTCTTCCTGCCGCTTGCTGGTGCCCTGGGAACCTGCTCTCTGCACTCTTTGCTGTAGCAGGGGAGGCTTTAGCAGGAAGAGAGGGAGGACAGGCCTGCATTCTCTCCTCCTTATGTAGCCTCTAGGAGTTACCGTGTGTATGACACAATCCTATGCGCATGCCTGGATCCTGACTCACACCAGAGAAAGTGATTTCCGGGGTGGCTCCGAAGGTAAAGGTGGCTCGTCCAGCTTTTCCACTTGATTTCGATCCCTAGAACCCCTACTGTGAAAGGAGAGAACCAACCTAAGGTAAGTTGCCCTCTGACCTTTACCCTCTCACCATGGTGAATGCATGTATGGATCTCCGGTTAAGAGCACTTGTTGCTCTGCCAGAAGATCTAAGTTCCATTATCAGCACACATCCACACACACACACACACACACACACACACACACACACACACACACATACACACCTTATAAGGACCACCTGTGCAGAGACAAGCCTCCCTTTGTGAGTGCTATCTCCACAAGGGTGTGCAGACACTTTATGGCCCATAATAAGTGCCAAATGCACACGATCTTTGAGTTTAGCCTTATCGGAACTTTTCTCTCACCCTGAAACCGCAGCAACAAGCCCCATAAACTTATCATCCTATAACTTCACTTATGGAAAGAAACTCTCTACAATAAGACACAAATAAGCTAGCTCGTAGGTTTTAACTTCATTTTTAAAACCCTACTTAATCTTTGAATTTGGTTCTAAATTATATCCTTTGACCAATGTGGCTTCAGAAATGACAAAATCACACATACACACACATACATGCACACACATGCACGCGTGCACACACATATAATGTTACGGCACTAGGGGCAACCCCTTCTGGATCTGACCCTCTTACACTTCACAGATCCCAACTCTGGGCCTGGTCGGACGGCTCAGCAAGCAAAGGCGCCTACCACCTAGCCAGACCACCCGAGTTCAGTCTCCTTCACAAGATGGAAGGAGACACCCAGTTCCCTACAGTTGTTCCCAGCAGCCCCCCCATTAGCGCTGTGGCGCGTGTGCAGCACCCCCAAAAAGAGGTGAAACGTAATTTAAAAACAACAGCTCCACATGTGGCAGTCCAGCCTTACTCCCTGGGCTGGGGGCAGGGGTGGTAGGCTGAGGCGGCAGGTCGTGTGGATTGGAGGCCAGCCAGAGCTCTCCAGTGAGTGTTAGTTCAGCCTGAGCTACAGAGGGAAACCCTGCCCTGCCAGGGGCGTGTCTCAGCGGGGAGAGCACTTTTCTAGCAGGCAGGAAGCCCTGGGGTGGACTCACCGTGTAAATCTAACATGGTGGCCTAGGCCTGTAATCCCAGCACTCCGGCGCCGCAGGCAGCAGGATCAGAAACCTAAATAAATCAATCCCAACTTTGTTTCACACTAACTTCTTTTTTTTTTTAAATAAGGAAATCTATTTTTGTTTATGTGTATTTGCCTATGGGTATGTTTTATTTATGTGTATTTGCCTGTGTGTGTGTGTGTGTGTGTGTGTGTGTGTGTGTGTGTGTGTGTGTGGCATGTGTCCATGCGTATGCATCACAGAGGCCGAGGAGGATGCTGGGTTCCCTGCTCTATCACTTTCCACCTTACTCTGCACTTTGAGACAGGGTCTGTGACCTGGAGGCAGGTTGGCAGCCAGCGAGCCCAGAAGTTCTCCGGTCTCTGTTCCCCTTCCCGACAGCACGTGTGCATGTGGCCACATCTGGCTTTTCACATGGGCTCTGTGGGTTTGAACTTGGGACTTCACGCTCTCGCAGGAAGTCTTTTACCCACTGACCCATCTCTTTAGCCCTTCACAGGGGTATTGGCTGCTGCATTGAAATCCTTGATCCTCAGCCAGTGAGGGATGCCAATCAGATCTTCAGGCGAGGGACCTCTTTCCCATTTCCATGCGTTTTCGGTTTTCCATCCTCCTGCCTTCCTTACAGCAGCGGTTCTCAGCCTTCCTAATGCTGTGGCCCTTGGAAACAGTTCCTCGTGTTATGGTGATCCCCAACCATACAATTCTTTCATTGCTACTTCAAAGCTGTAGCTTTGCTGCTGTTCTAAATCCTAATGTTGAGCTGGCGCATGCCTGTGGTGGCGCTCGCCTGAGATCGGAGCGCTTAGGGAGGCAGGGGCAGGCAGATGTCTACAAAGTGAGCCCAGGCCAGGCAAGGCTGCAAAGATAAACTCTGTCAAACAAACAAACAAACAAACAGTAGCAGGATCTCTGATAGGCAAACCCCAAAGGGGTCTCCACCCACAGGTTGAGAACCGCTGCCTTTACCTACAGCTCTCACCCTGCTCGACCTCTGCCTTTCTTTTCCCATGGCTTTAACAACTTCCCTCTGGTTAGGCTTGTCTGGGTGTAGACGCTTAGCTCTGTGGTCTCTCCTGGATGGCCTATCCTCAGCAAAGACCACCCATGACCCCTGGACGCCCGTGCTCTTTGCCTCTTGCAGAGAGGCCCCCTGTGGCCTTGACAGCTTGGCAAAGCACTCACCGCACACATACCGAACATCTGCCCGAGATTCTGGGGCTGTGTTGTATGACACTAGTCCTGGGGAGACGGGAAGGAATGTCTACTCATCTTGTATCCTGAGGGTAAGGACACTATCTTTCCAGCATGGGGAAGCCGATATATTTATTGGGGCTACAGAGGGGGGTGACGAGTTACTTAGAGGGGCAGAGGTGACCGAAAGGCAGTTGCATTACTGAGAGCCCACCCCCGCAAGAGTGACAGCTCAGGAGCGCTGGAACCCCGGGGCTCACTGCGCAACCCAGGCAGCTCACCAGTTCTACGCATGTCTACCAGGCAGCTCAGGTGGTCCGAGTGTCTGTCTGCAGTCCTTACCGCTTGTAACATCAGGGAGAAAAGTCTCCGGTAGGCTTTGAACACTTGATTTCTGGTTGTGGGGTGCTGTTAGGGGAGGGTGTAGAACCTGTAGGAGGTGGAGCCTTACTGGGGAAATTGCATCGTTAGGGGTGGGTTTTGGGAGCTCATAGCCCTGCCCCACTTCCAGTTTGCTCTCTCTGCTTGTGTGTGCAGCGGAGGATGTGATTGCTTACCTTCCTCTCTTCTTCTCAGGTTGTCTGTGGCCATGGCCTCCCCACAGTCTCGTTCTGGAACCTTAAGTCCAAATAAACTCTTTCTTCTCTAAGTTGCTTTTGGTCATGGCATTTTATTACAGTACCAAAAAGTAACCAATACAGGAAAGGAGGGAGGGGCCTAGTGTATTTAGTCAGTTTCAGGGACTTTCTGAGGCTTTTGAGTTGTTTACCTCCTAGCAGACAACACTGTTCTAATCTTTGAACATCTTTATAACAGGTTTAATACCATCCCTGGCCCCCTAGATACATTGATGTATGAAGAAATGAGCTGAGAGTTGAGGATGTGGTAGAATGCTTCAAGCCTTGGGTCTGATCCCTGGCGCCACGTAACCAGGCATGGTTGGTGCACCCCTGTAATCCTAGCACAGGAATTAGACGTTCAAGGTCATTCTTGGCTATGTAGTGAGTTTTAAGGCCAGCCTGGGTTACTGAAGACAGACATAGAGACTGAGAGAGATGGGGTGGGGGTGGGGAAGAAAGAGAGACAGAGAACCAGCCAGTGGCGGTGGCACACGCCTTTAATGCCAGCACTAGGGTGGCAGAGGCAGGTGGATCTCTGTGAGTTTGAGGCTAGCCTGGTCTACAAAGCGACTCCAGGATAGACAGGACCGTTACACAGAGAAACCTTGTGTAACAAAAGGGGGGACAGGGGAGGGAGAGAGAACTGAGTGGCTCCTTTCACCACCAAGCACTGAACATGGACTAAGGATGGAGCCTCAAGGACCTAGCTATGACTCACACCATTGAAGCATCAGATAATTAAGTAATTAAGTAATAAGAAGGGGCAAATTTGGAGCAACTGAGGCAGCCACCTGGCTGAAGTCACCAGTAACAGATCAGGCATGTCCCCTGCTGATTGCTTCCTTTACAGCTGAGCAAGCAGCTTGGCTAAGGTGGGGAGGGAGTGTCAGCTTGCCCTTTAGTTTGTGAAGCTCACTCTATTGCTACAGGGGACTAACCAAGGCAGTAACGGTGGCCAGAAACTGTGTCCTGGAAGCTGACCTTCCATGGCGTGAATCTTGGCTGTTGCAGTCACTTCCTGTCTGTGTGACTGATCTCAGGCCAGCGATACCCCGTCTCCCTATCTGGACAATGGGATTAAGAAAATAGAGGGAAGGACGGCTTCAGTTCCTATCTGTGGAATGCTTAGAGCAGTTCCTGGCCCACAGTAAGTGCTTATTCGGGTCAGTCTTCTGAGAAGGTGCTGGAAAAGCAACCGAGGACAGCCTTGTCTCTTCCCAGAGCTATGGTCAGAAACTCATGGGGAGGAGGATAAGAGGAAGAAATACAAAGTGAGGCATAGCAGCAAGGGCACTGGGTGGGAGTGGGTGAGCCAGCTGACGGGTTGGTGCTTTAGGGGAGCAGTGAGGTGAGGGGTTAGACAGCTCTGAGGCTGGAAGCTCAGTACAGGAAGTCCACTTTAACTTTCAGATGACGGGAGGAGCGTGGGAGCCATGCTAGCATGGCCTGATCTTAGCGTTGGGAAACCAGGCTTGCGTAACTTCATCTGGAAGACTTCCAGAAGAAAGGAAGCCGTCCATTGTCTGCTTTGCAGAGGAGGACCAGGAGGCCGGGCTGATGGGGCTGGTCAGCCGTGGTGCTTACCTAGGTGCTTCTAGTGAGCTGTGGACTGTTGGGAGGCTCCTGATAGCCAGGTCCTTAGATTGTATATGAAAACCAGTGACACCTGGGCAACCAAGGGGACACTTCCAGAGCAGCATTCAGAAAGCTGGGAGGCCAGGCCAGGCCTGCAGAGGGTCTGAACTAAAGGTGGCTGTGCCCAGTGCCACCGTGAATTGTTCCCGAGAATGTGGAATGGCTCCTGCTCTCCAGAGCTCAGAACCTCCCTCCGACCCAAGGGCTATCCTCTGCCATTTTTCTTTTTCCATGTCCCTGGGGTGACGGTGACAGCCCTCCCTGGGCCGTTCGCATTTTCGCTACAGACTCTGGCTCTGGGCGTCTAACTACCCTAGCTGCCAGGCACAGGCTGCACCTGAGAACCAGGTCCAATGAGAGACACAAAATAAGCGGCAGAACAAGATGCTGTGTGTGGAGGACACAGTTCGCTAAGGACGTATACATGTCACACAATCATATACGTGCCCTGGGTCAGTTTTACGCTGCTGACATGTTAAAGTTATGTTTTGGACAAATTGGAGTCAATACAAAGTTTAACATGAATCTCATGCAGTTTATTTTTCCCTCTCATGCTGATCTGGCTTCTTGACAGTTTAAAACCATCTCTGCGGTTGGAGCTCCTGTCTATTTGACAGTATTGTTCCAGAAGGTTAAAAGCATTCAAGATACTGAGTGTGCACACATGCCTTTAATTCCAGCACTTTGGAGGCAGAGGCAAGTTCGAGTTCAAGGCCAGCCTGGTCTATATAGTTCTAGGAAAGCCAAGGCTACGTAATAGAATCTCTCTCCCTCTCCCTGTCCCTCTCCTTTTCCCTCTCTCTTTCTTTCTAATGCACACACAGATTTATGGGACTAAGGGCACAAAGACTTTTTTTTTTTTTCTTAAAGATAGGGTTTCTCTGTGTAGCCCTGGCTGTCCTGGACTTGCTTTGTAGACCAGGCTGGCCTCGAACTCAGAGATCCACCTGCCTCTGCCTCCTTGAGTGCTGGGATTACAAGCGTGAGCCACTGTACCTGGCCAAAGACATTTTTTTTTTTAAATTCATGTTTCATGTGTATGAGTCTTGCCATCGTGTGCATGCCTGGAGCCCTCAGAGGGCCCCTTGGAACCAGAGTTACTTGTTCTCCAGCCCTATTTATTTTCTTTTTATTGGCACATGCTAATCAAGAGCTCTTCCAAGGAGCCCCTCTCCCGGTCCCCACAGCTGCATTAAAAAAAAAAAAAAATCCTCAGCTAGAGCCACACCTGTGTTGGCAATCCTTTGGGGCTGAAGGGCTGCCCCCTTCTTCGATCCATATGGAGAGTCCCAGGTTTTGTTTCCACTTCTTGGCTGCTGAGGGGAGACCAGACTTTGAGATGCTAAGAGGTGGATCTTGCCTCCCTGGGAACCCAGGCCTCACTCAGGAGTGGCTCAGCTCACAGTCTCCATCACCCACATCAGCACAGCATTATGAGGCTGGATAATTACTAAGGTGAACACGTTGCTACAGCCTTGCAGCTCCGCCTCCTGTGTCCTCTGACGGTATGTAGGCCTTACATGCTGCTCTTGCTCTTGCTCATGCTTATCCCATTATTTGGGATGATGGAAGAGTGATTCATTCATTCATTCATTCATTCAGTATTGGTTACCTTTTCTTAACACTGTGGCCAAATACCTGACAAACAGCATCTTAAGTGAGGAAGGGTAATTTTGGGCTCCCATTTTTGTGGGTACAGTCCTTCATAGTAAAGTCTATGGTCTACCACTGATCTGCCCGCTGTTTTCTCCTTTTTATTCCATCTGAGACAGCAGCTCATCTTCCACCTCCATCTTCCTTCTCAGTTAATGCTTCTGGGAAAAGCCCTCACAGACACAATCAAAGGCAGGTCTCATTAGTGCTCTATGTGTTCATTAGTTCAGTAAAGAACACACTTGAGAATTCCTTTCTTGCCTTTCCCTCCCCTCCCCTGTTCTCCCCTCTCCTCCCCTCTCTCCTGGTAGGGTCTCTTGTAGCACAGGCTGGTCTCAAACTGGCTATGTAGCTGAGGATGGCCTTGAACTTCTACCTCCCCTGCCTCCACCTCTCAAGTGCTGGGATTGCAAGCTGGAGCTCAGACAGTGTTTGCTGAGGAAACATTTGAAGCATCTGCTGTAGGGTAACTGTCAGGGTTAGGAGAGCCTACGCAGGAACACACAAGTGCACACATCATCTCAAGGAGCTTTAAAAGCTGGGCCTGGTGGTCCACATGCCAATTCCAGCACCCCAGGGATGGAGGCAGAGGGCCAGGACTTCAGGATGAGTTTTAGCTACGTAGGGAGTGTCAGGCCAGCCTGTATGGACAAACAAAGTCTTTGAAGAAATGCAGCGGCTGGAGACACAGTTTCCTGTGCTTAGGAGCTCTTGGCTGCTCTTGCAAAAGAGTTTGGTTCCCGGCACCCATGCAACCACCTGTAATTCCAGCTCCAGAGGGATCCAGTGCCCTTGGCCTTCGATGGCACCTGTACTCAGGAGCACATATCCACACACAGACATATGTGTGTGTATATATATTTTACATATTTAATCATACACATATATGATTAAAAATAAAAATACAAGTTTGCAAAAAGAAAAAATACAAGAGGGTAATGGATGAGAGGACCTCATGGGGGGAGGGGGTAGAAGTCCCTGTGCAGTGGGATGTGTGGAGAAAGGAGTGGTCAGCTCCACGCAGCTGGCTGTTCAGAGCCACACCCCGCAGCTGTTCACTTCTGATTGCTCACTGAGTACTCAAAGTCGCTGGTTTGTCCTGAGAAACAACACAGGATAAACTCCTCCTGGATTTCAAAAACCTACAGTAACACAGTGTTAATATAGCTTATTAACCATTTTTTTTTTCCTGCCAGGTGCGATGGCACGAACCTATAATATCAACACTCAGGAGGCTGAGGCTGGAGGAGGATCTTGAGTTTGAGCCAGCCTGAGCTACCTGCAGTGACTCTGTCTCAGAAATCAACCCAAACAAATCTGTTTTGCTGTTGGCTATATGTTGTTATAAGAATATTTGGGAAGCATTAGATTGAATGAATTACTAAACAAACTTCTCTTTATCTCTCTTTTCCCTCTCTTTCTCTCCTCTCTCCTACTGTCTTTGGTCCTAGGGACTGAATCCAGCACCATGCTAGTAAAGGACTGTACCACTGAGCCACACCCCCAGGCTCATCTCTTTTAATATAGCAAGTAACAAATGAGTCTACGTGCTTGCATTGGACTTCTGTTGGATAGCACTGGCCTAGGAGAGAATGGCAGATGCAGAGGACCCGAGGCAGGAGCTCCAAGCATGCTGGGGGTCAAGTGGGCCAGAGAAAGAGTTGCAGGAAAGGAATAAATCCACTTAAGACTTAGTGTGGCACAGTAAGGAGGTTTGGTTTTGTTTGTTTGTTTGTTTGTT